AGGAATGCCAAAAGAAAGTGATCTTAAGGATTAGAAATCATGTTACTATAAAATACTCAGTAGTAAAAAAAAGATGATTTCAAATAGATAATACATAAAATGGAAGTGTTTTTAAATGCAGATTATGGTTTTCCAAGCCATGGAAAAAAATTAGGCACCCAAATCCCACTAAATTTCAATTCACGCCTTCAACTCCCAGAGTCTCCTTTAACAAATTGCAGATATAATTCTTTTAACATGTTTCCATGAGATAACAGAATCTTTTTAGTAAGTGAATATATTACTGAATTCCAATCATAATAACTAAAAGGAATCTGCAGAAGGATAAGATTAAAGATGAATGCTATAAAAATATTACAATGGGATGGTATTGTAGCTGCAACGTCCAGGAAATACAAAAGATGCAAGAATTTTTTGGTAATACATTTTACTAGACCAATTGTATAGTTGGGTGAGAAGTTAAACAGGTTTTTGGGTTCAGGGTGCCTTTATTCAGGATCAGAAAGAAGCAGGTACAATCAAACTGCACATCTTTTGCTTCAAAGCTACTTCTAATAGCTTCTCTTTGCTCCTATTTTACAGCAGGATCACCCAACTCCTTTTAAGTAAATGCATTTATTTACAAATGGAGTTAACCGAAAAAACAATGGGCATTTATAGAGATACCTTTTTGTCCCATAACACGCTGTATATCAGCCACTTTGGAGCAAACTTGATCAATCAAGTCTGCTCCGCGTGCCAGCCGATGTGAACTGCGCCGCGTGCAGTTGTATAAGGGGCACGCAGAAAATGGCGGCAGTGCGCTTCTGAACTAAAGCACCTCTGAAGTGTTTTAATTCAAAAGTGCGCCGCTGGCATTCTCTCAGCAGTGATGCGCATTTTGCCGCTTATACAACTGCAAGCATCACAGCGCCAGGCACTTTTTAAAGCTGGTGCTGCAGCACTTGTACATGTAAAAATGCCCAGTGGTTTCTGTTTATTTCGCTTAGGTTGTACCTGCTTCTTTCCCAGACGTGAAGAATGGCACTGTGTGCCCAAAATCTCATCTAATATCTCTCCCAACAAAGAATTAAAGATACCACCAAAAGCCCTTGTCTATCACATAAAAATATCATACTACTATTGAAATGACATTCTGCCTCCAGACTAAACATCAATTCCACCATTTATTCCAAATTTTAGAACTTCATAATCTACAAACTAAATCCCACTGGGTGCATCTATACATGGATGAATATGCTTTCCCTAATGTGCATTAAATTTAGTACCTCCAATGTGAGGTACTAAATAAATGCACATTAGCCTGCCCTAATGCACAGTACCAAAAGCGCACATTTTTAAAGTGACGCTTAATGGGCAATAGAATAGGCTACTGTGCATTAAAGAGCATATTTAGATGTGCCCACTGACTTACAACCAGGTACTAAATCTTGTGAAAACAAAACATACACATACTTAACTTTATGCAGCATGGGTAATGATGACAATTCATACCACGTAAAATTATACATGTATGTAAATCTTTGCAGGACTGAGACCCTTATAAGCAACTGGTGATCTACATTAGGGTGAGGTCTCCTTTACTGTAAAGATTGTTTCAATTAGAGATTACCTTTATTTTTAATGCTTCTGGATCTTCATTATGCTCAGAAGCCAACTCAGCCAAGTAATCTGCAGCACAATTAGAAGCTGCTCCATAGAGATCACCTGAAGAGGAAAAAAAAATATCATTCAAAACAGCTGGAAATTACTTCCGAGTACCCTAATACTTCTGAATGTTAGTTTCCCATTCTCACTCCCTAAATACCTAAGAATGTTTTTCTTTCTTTTTTTTTAAAGAAAGAAAGATTATTTACCTCAGTGAAGATCTCTTTTTTTTTTTTGAGTAGTAGTGCAGGCACTCAGTAATGGAACTGTTAAAGCTAAAAAAGCTAGTTCCATAAAATTCAAATAAATAAATATTGAAGTACAATAAATCTATGGCAACAGTCCACAATGAACATATATCTTAACACTAAAAATATGTTATATTTTAGTATGATAACTTATATAGAATCAAATCTATGAGAAACTGAAGCTTTCCTAAGCAACAGCACAAATAAGTAAATGTTTATATAAATTATATTTAAAATTCTCTTCACTCAATGGGCAGAAAAAAACTTGTCCTTAGTACCCAGATGAATAAATAATCAAGAGTCTCAACAATCTAGGGTTATTTAAGGACAAAGGCCATCGGTACACAAAAAATTTAAAAGGAGATACTGTGCGTCTGTAACTCTGAAGAATCTGCCTCTGTGTACGCTCTTTCTTCATGGTAAATGAAACTGAAGACTGTCCCCTCCTACCTTCCATTAGCTCACAGTAAGTTTTTATATGGTTACGCCTTTCAGGTGTTATTATGTTCTAAGCTTGTCAGTTTGAAGTAGCTCAGGTACTTCTACACAACGATTGCAGTCATTTTTGTGCTTAAAGATTTTATCTTCCACATGCTTAATCCTAAAAAATGTATGTCTCAAGATGGCCAAGAACTTTCTTTCACAGAAAGAGCATGACAGGTGCAAAGGCCCTTGGATCTACTGTATATCTCACTGGGATATACACATGTGTATACACTGTATATACACTGGGATTGCCACATGTGAAATTAGGATGCCAGAGTTTGCACCAGAGTTTATTGCTCTCAGGCACAGCATTTACAAGTGCATCCAAGACTCAGCACACTGAGCCAGAGTGGTGCAGCCCTGGCTGGCAAGGGACCCAAGGGGTCAGCCTTCCAGTCCAGAGTTGTTCCACCCTAGCTCAACATAATGCAGAGGGGCTGACTGGGCCACAAGGATCCTACAGTGTGGGGCTAGCCAGCAGGCAGCCCCGCACTGTACCCTTGTGACCTAGCCAGCCCCAGTCAGCGTCTACATGTGGATTGTGGCACACTAAATAACTCCATGGCAGGATAGTACTTGTGTCAGGCAGTACCATCCTACACCAGAGGTAATTACTCTACTGTGGCCTAATGATGCACATGTAGACGGTGACATTTATTGTGGAGATAATTAGTCACCTCCACAGTAAAGCACACATGTAGACGACTCCACAGACTTCAACAACACTGATCAAGTGCAAAAGCACACCCAAGATTAGGAACTGCTAATATATAGTATGGCTTGTTTGTCTAGAGGTATGATTCTTGTTTTGGGTGTGAGAGGTCCTGGGTTCAAATCCCAGACAACCCCTTTTTATTTTAGAGTTAGGGCTGCCAGGCTCTGGAATGGACTCCCAAGGGAGGTGGTGCTCTCTCCTTCCTTGGGGGTCTTCAAGAGGAGGCTGGACAGATATTTGGCTGGGGTGTTATGACCCCGCACTTGTTCCTGCCTGGGGCAGAGGGTCGGACCTGATGATCTGTTTAGGTCCCTTCCAACTCTAAGCACTATCAAACTATGAAACTATAGCCTGCAAGCCAAGTCTGGCTCTCACAGCCTTTGGATCAGGCCCAAAACATGGAGCTTCAGCAGCAAGGGGCTGTCAGCTGCAGGTGCTCTCCCATGCCACTAGGAAGACAAGCAGCAGCAGCAGCAAGGTCCTAGTGATTGCCCACCTGCCTCCAACCCAGGGTTTGTCATTCCAGCTTGCAGCCAGAAAAGGCTGACTACCCCTGCCATAGCTTTTTTTTTTCACTGTGTAATCAGGTCCTGTGAGATTACAAGTGGTAAATATGTATGTTGAAAACAAAAAAAGAAACAAAAAACATAATTGGGTTTAACAGCCTGGCACCACACATATACAATTCCAAGTCACTGCTTACTTGTAGCTTCTTCATCTTCCAAGTCTTGAAATATAAGCTTTTCAGAATTTTGACGACTTCTCTTTATAACATTTAAACAGTAGAGAACTGATTCTGGTAATTCATCTGAAACCTAAAATACAAACAATTTGAAGCAAGCTACATATTCATCTGTCTGTCAGCACTATACATTCTTAATATTCAGGAATTAAAATTCAAATGTTCTTCCACTCCACACATTAAAATGCAGATTTTAACAGCCGTTCCTACCAACAGATAAGGAATGGATTTTTTAGTTTTTGTTAATTTCTTCCCACAACCTGTTTTGGCCTACAGTATTTTTTCAGTCAGCACTTGACAGGCATATAGACTTCACAGACAGTCAATGACTATGAATGTCCAGTAGCATCTTTTAAAGTAACAATTTATTATTGATCCATGCTGAATTAAAGGAGTTAGGAAAAATTACTAAATACGGAGGTAGTAAATATGAGACTCATGGCATTACTGTTACAGAGACACTGAATTCTTTGAAAGACAAAGATATTTTAGATTCACTAGAATACAATATAAAGAAAGTTTCTACTATATGTGGTTTAATTTGCATTAGATTGGCATTGTAACTTTTGCCCATTCAAACATCTGCAGTGCTGCTTTGAAAATGTAAGCACTTACTTGAATACTGCATATGCACATTCATCAACACAATGCAAGTCCCAATTTGTTGCCTATTGTTTACATTTTAACAAACACTGGTTATGTGTATGTTGGTTACCTGCATAAACTAGTATCTTTCATACTAGTCATACTCTTAACTGCAGAATAACTGTAATTATCTACTTCTAGCAAACTGTGTTTCATTGAACTTAACCAGAAACAGTGAAGATGAGGCAATTTCAAAGTGTTACTATCAGAAGCCTTGAAAATGACAAGCACTGGCCAGTTTCAGAGCTGCTAATAGGACAGTACTCATAGTCATGGTTGGTAGGGTTGGAAGGAACCTGAGCAGATCATCAAGTCCAACCCCCTGTAATGGGCAGGAAAGAATGCTGGGGTCAAACAACCCCAGCAAGGTGTTCATCCAGTCTCCTTTTAAAGACCCCCAGGGTGGGAGCCAGCACCACATCTCTTGGAAGTTGGTTCCAGATCCTACCCGCCTGACTGAAGTAGCACCTCCTGATACCTAGCCTGAATCTACCCTCTGCCAGCTTGTGACCATTATTTCTTGTCACTCCTGGTAGTGCTCGGGGAACAGGGACTCCCCCAATGCCTGCTGGTCCCCTCTGACTAGTTTGTAAATGGCCACTAGATCCCACCTCAGCCTTCTCTTGTGGAGGATGAACAGGTTCAGGTCCCTTAGCCTCTCCTCATAGGGCCTGCCCTGCTGACCCCTGATCATGAGTGGCCCTCCTCTGGACCCCCTCCATGTTGTCCACATCCCTCCTGAAGTGTAGTGCCCAGAACTGGACGCAGTACTCTAACTGCAGCCTGACCAGTGTCGCATAGAGGGGGAGGATCACCTCCTTGGACCTGCCTGAGATCTATCTGTGGATGCATGACAAGGTACAGTTGGCCTTCCTGACCACGTCCCCACACTGTCGGCCCATGTTCATTTTGGCATCAGTAATGACTCCAAGATCCTTTTCTGTCTCTGCAATGATGAGAAGGGAGTTCCCCGGCCTGTAGGTATGCTGCTGATTCTTCCCACCCCCAGGTACAGTACCTTGCATTTGTCAGTGTTGAAATCCATCCTGTTCTCATCCGCCCACACCTATAACCTGTCCAGGTCTGATTGCAGCCTATTCCTCCCTTCTAGCGTGCCCACTTCACCCCACATCTTAGTGTCATCTGAGAAATCTGAACAGTACTGACAGATTCCTAACCAATGCTCCTTAAATACATAGAATTATCAGTGTTGTAGTATTACCAGTCCTGAAATCCACTAGCTTTGCTCATCTAAAAGCACCCCCAACTATTAGAAAAGCCTTGGAAAGGAGGGGAGCAAGTCAGTTTTAAGACTGTTACCAACACTAGATTTGGACTGTATGAGCGTCCAGATGAGTGCGGTTGTGCATGCCACACATTCCGGTGCTCTCCGTGCTGAAAGGGCACACTGCCTAAGCATGCGCAATGCTGTGTTTTTTTCCTGCCACTTTTTTTTTTTTTGATATCCAGGGGTAAAAAAAAAAAAACCACAGAAGAAAAAACCCGGAGCAGCTGAAAAGTGGAGCCGGGCCGCCCAGAGCTGTGCTCCGCTGCCACCCAGGCTCCGCACGGCAGAATCGCCCTGCCTGCAGCCCCGGGAGGCCCCCAGGACCCTAAGTAAAGCTGCTGGGTCCAGTCCAGTGCTGGCCCCAGCCTCCCCTACTCCACCCAGGGCAACTTGCCGTGCAACAAAGTGCACAATGGTACGGGCATTTCCCAGGACAAGTAGTGGCAGTGCAAGGTGCTCCGCCGCTACTTGTCCCTGGTTAATCAAGTGTCCACGTACATCTGAACGCACTCTAGGACTTCAAGAGAATATCCTCAACCCCCTCTAAGTGCATCTCTTTCTCTCTTAAAACGTATCATTTTGCTTAAGCACATTCCTTTTAAAACATTTGCCTGCACAGCTCAGAGTAGTTATTTCTTTAAAATAAACTTTTTTTCATGGGTTCTCCATCACTTCAGTTTATGTTTTCATACAGCTAAGTTAATAGGAGTAGGATACATTTTAAGGAAGTTTTTCTCCAGGGTATAAGTGTTAGGAAATAGCTCATTCATCAACCAGACTTTCCAATGTTTGTTCTGTGATCCCAAGCATTCCATGAAGAGGGCTCAGCAAAACACACAAGTTTGCCAGGCATAAGTTATGGTACTTTTAGCCACCCTATTTCTATTCTATACTTACTTGCTCACCAACACTAGAGGCTTCTGATGATAAATCCGTGTCAGAATCATCTGCTTCAAGGGAGGAAACATTAATTCTGCTCAACTCAATTTCTATTTCTTTTGCAATTCTTGCATCCTCTTCCTCCTCCTCCTCCTCCTCCATCTCTGCCCATAATAAAATGATAATATGAAAAAGTAAAAAATATTTATTATTATAAAGAACTTACTCCTGGAACTGACTCTGTCCCTGGTTGGGAGCCCTGCTAGTCTTGGCTGGGCACTGCCCTCCTGCTAGGCACAACCAATAGAATGCCAAGGACAAGTGATTGATAGGTATTTCCACCAATGAACTGAAAATCAGGACTTTTTGCAGTCCAGTCCTCATTCTGAAATAGACAGGGGATAAAGGGTTTTAAATCGGGACAGTCGTGTTACACAGGACCAATGGCCACCACCTAGGGTAAGCAGGCCCACAGCAAGCAAGTGGCTGGCAGGGGCAGGCAGCATGGGGCCAGAGAGCAAAGGGCAGACCCTGGGGCCAAGGGGGGTGGACAGGTGATGGCAGGGGGAAGAGAGGCACAGGGCTGGACAGGGGAGAGGGGCAAGGGTGAGGCCACCTCACCCCAGCCCTGCCACTGCTCAACCCTTGCCACAGTTTTCCCCAGGATTTAGGAGGCCTCTCTGCTCTACCCATGAAAAATTATAGCAGACGCAGTTTTCCATGTGCACAGTCTCATGGCAGGGGAGATCGTCTTAAATTCCAAGACGTCTTGCCCTCGGGTCAATACGGTAAAACCGGCCCCAACTGTTGGGCAAATACGGTGAACCGGGCCTAACTGTCCGTCGCGCCGGGCTGCAGAGACAAACCCGGAGAACGCCACGAGGCATTCCGGAAAGTGACATCGCTAAAAACCTCCTGGCGCCAAAGGCACAGCACGATCTGCGCATGCGCGGGGGAACTACTACTGCGAAGACCTGAAGCGTCACCGTCACCAAACGTCACGTCACCGTCCCCGCTGCTATTGGCTCTCCCCGCCCCCGCCCCGCGCTTGTAGCAGGAGGCCCAAGGTCCCTCTCAGGGCGGAGCTTGCTGGCGCGGCGCGTGGCATGCCGGGAGCCGTAGTTCTCCCGCCGCTAAGAGTGTCGCCGAGCAACTCTCGCAGCGCGGACGGAGCCCGTCTCCTCCGGCGGCTGCTGTGAGGTCCGAGCCGAGCCCCGGCCCGTCTGGAGACTCCCCGCGACCTCCCTGACCCCGTCGCTCGCGCGCTTGGCGGTGCCGGCTCAGAGCCCTACCGGAGCGCAGCTCCCTGCGTCTCAAACAGGAAGTGTAACCATGGCAACGGGCGCAGGCGGCTAGGTGAGCTCTGTGCTATGGCCAGCCAGGAAGGACAAAACTAGTGAGCGTTTCTCATAAGCGTTTCAAACGGGGGGATAGCAAGTAGAGGGCTCCTCTCCCCAGCCCTCCCAGCCAGCTTAAAAGGCATTTGCCTGGGTGATTTTGCTTGTTGAGCAGCAAATGAAGCCTTGCCAACCCCTGGCATCTTCTCAGGAGGGAAGATGCCAGACCCTTCAGCTAAGCTATAAAGCAGTGGGATGGAGTTGTAAAAATTGTTTACAAGTGCCAGGGGCTGAATCCCATTCCTGAAGCTTTTTTTCCTCTGTTACTTGGAGGGCTGTTGTACACTAGTCTGACTTGAGGTGCGGGGTACTTCACTCAAATTGTGAACACCACCCCCCCCCCCCCCAACAGGTGTTGTCGTTGGTTGAAAACACCTGAGGGTGCGCACAGGAGTGACAGTTTTTGCCTGAGCTGGCCACAGAAAGCAGTTTATAGCTGTGACCAAACACAAGTGCACAGCTGCAGAAAGCTTTAAAAATGGCCGATTGGGTGAAAATTGGACCCCTCTTTGCATGAGGAGGTATCGGATAAAGATGCTATAAAATGTAGCGTCTTTTGTAACTTGCGTCTGCTGAGCTCCCAGCCTATGGCTGTCTTCAGAGTAGGAGTGGGGAAAGGGAGCAGAAGGAGTTCAGTCTGAGGGGTTTTCAGCCCCCCCTGGAGGGTGGGGCAGGTATATTGCAGCCCCCTGAGATGACAGGCTTCAATTCACCCACCCCAAACTTCAGCATCAGCTGGGGAGCCCCAAGAATGAGCTCCAGCTGCTGCCTTTTCCCCATCCCATTCTAAAAACAGGGAGCACTGGCAGCGAGCCCTTACTATGGGAACCTGGCTGCAGGCTCCCCGCCCCAGCTAGATTTCCCTCCCCCTGGAGCCAGCAGTGAACTTCTGTCTGGTCCGGGTAAAACTTGGAACGCTTGGCAAAAATCGTTTAGAGTTACACCTGGGAGCTGCACTACTGTCTGAAGCCTGAGGTGTTTACAAAGCAACTCTTATTCCAGAGTGAATTCCAGGTAGAGACCTGCGTGGGTTGGATTTTAAAGGCCCACTTCTGACCTGCGCCCAATATTATAGATGGGGACACAAAATCACAACCTACACTAGCAATGTCTTCTTGCCCACAGACTGACCTGACTAGCTTTAAGCAAACCTACAACCCGACACAAGCACATTTTCTAATTAGGTTGTTCAAACTGCTGACAGATATGAGGGGAGGGGGAGGGGGAACATGCTTTACCGGAAGCACAATACTTCAACCCAGCTCCCCAGCATCTGTATATATTCAGTGCTTCAGCAGCACTTTTCTCAAACCCAGTTCTATCCGCTATCAATTCAGGGGTCAGCAACCCCCAGCATGTGCGCCAGAGCATGTTAGTCGAGGCTATTTTGCCTGGCACGTCATATCCAGCTGGGCTCTGGGCAGCTGCTGGCCACAGAGTCTGGGCTGCTTGCAGCAAGTAGGCTGCAAGCCTTGCTGCAGACAGCCCAGGCTCTGTGAAAGGCAGCAGGTGCCCAGAGCCCAGCTAGATGTGACAGGCAACTGCAAACCTGGAAGCGGTTGCACCAGGGTCCAGAGTCCCAGTCAGCTCGTTGCTGTGCACAGCTCTGGGACCATCATGGGGAAGGAGCCAGGGCTGCACTCCACTGCCAGGGGCTGCCTGTTACAAAGCCTGACATCCCCACAGGGGCAGGAGGGGAAGCAGAGCAGGGAAGCAAGGGGGAAACATCCCTGTCCCTATCCAGTCAGGCCCAGCTGCAAAGGGCAGGGCAAGTTGCATGAGCACAGCAGCCCTGTGCAGAAGGGCTCTGGCCAGGTGGCTCTGGCCCCAGCTGTCTCCATCCATGTCTCTTGTGGACAAGGTAGAGCAGACCTTGGCCTGGCTGTGGTGCTAGGGTGACCACCCGTTCCTAATTGGGTGTGACAGTCCTGGAATGTGAACCTCAGGTCCTGGTCCCGAGCCGTGGGACAGCATTTGTCCTGGATTCACAGTGTTTTGCAGGAATCTGGGTTTTCCATTCCCTGAACTGCAGGTCTCTCCTTGCAGACTGGCAGCATTCCAGGTTGCAAGGTACTGCCAGGACTGGGATGCAGGGGGTTCTATTTGCATGTGCCTGCCCACACACATGTTTGTGGTTGGGAATATAGCCAGGCAGCCTGGAGAGCAACTCCCTATCATGAAGCTCCCCTATTGGCGGGGAGAGGAGAGGGCATAGGAAGGGCAGGGGGTACAGACTGAGAACCCCACAGTGAGGAAGGGAATGCAGCAGGGCTGGGGTTGTGGGCGCTGCCTGGCCAGGGTGGTGCATTGAGCCTGGTGTGGGAGCAGGATGAAGCCACAGTCAGCTTGTCCGGGGGGAGGGATCCAGCTCACTGCTGCTGTGCACAGTTTCAAGGTAACATGGGTGGGCATGTTCCCCCCAAATTTGTGCATGGGGCAGGGGTGAATGAAGGCTGTCCGCTGCAGGCTCAGGGCTCCACACCATGCTGCCTTTCCTTGGGAGCCTTGTGCTGGCCATGCCACCATGGCGAGTTGCCCCCTGTACACCCGGCAGCAGCAGGGGAAGTGGTGTGGAGTTGTGACCCTCTGCTGCTACCAGGTTGGGAGGGGGTGAGCGGCTGGCACAAGGCTCCTGCAGAAATGGCAGCAGGGCGGGGAGCCCCAAAGCCCACAGCAGGCAGCTTTCATCCACCCCCACTCCAACCATGCCTCTAGTAGAGGGGAGAGGCGGGCATGTGTCACACCTTTCCATTTTGAAAAGGTGGTCACCCTATGTGGTGCCGGGAGAAGGTGCTTGCGGGAGGGGGTGATGCTGGAGGGGTCGCTGCACTAGGCAGTCCCAGGGGGCTCCACCTCCCATGCCCAAGCCGAACCGCACTGCCAGCCCCTGCCTCTGCCCCTGCTCTTGTTCCCACTGTGCTGAGCCGGGAGCCAGGCCACTGCTGCAGGGTAGCACAGACCTCGGCCATGTCCCTTTTCCCTATGGCCACCAGAGGGGTCCCAGCAGGGTCTGCTCTGCCCCTGTGTGTGTGGTCACTACATGGGGGGGCTGCCCTACCCCCCAGCCTCCATGCCCTGGCCCCTTCCCCGCTGTGTTCCTGGAGGTGCATTTGCAGCCACCAGCAGCAACAAGCAGGGCTAGGGCTCCAGACCCAGGTGCAGCCACTTGCAAGCTCATGGCTGCCTGGTACGGGTGGCAGGGGCCTGCCCAGAGCCTGGGCTGCTCACAGCAGGCAGGTACAAATCTGCAAGCGGCTGCACCAGGGTTGGAGGTTCAATCCTGCTAGTTGCTGGCAGCAGCTGCATATGCACTTTGGGGCAGATGGTGGGGCAAGACAGGTCCAACTAAAGTAATGCCTATTCTGGGCACATGCTAGACTCAGCATAAAGGCACACTGAGTTTAAAGTAAAGCACCCGCCACATAAGGGAAGTAGTGGGCCCAATCCTGGGGGGGTGGGGGGTGGTTCTGAGACCCTGAGATGCAATGCCAGTGGGAGGGGCGGTGCCAGGACTCCTGGTCCACTGGGGCAGGAGGGGGCAGTGCTGGGCCCCAAGGCTACCTTTTGGTATTAAGGGCTCAATTCAGTTCAGGTCCTGCCCCAGTCATGTGGCCCATGGACCCAAAAGGTTGAGTACCACTGAGTTCGATATACTAAATGACATCTGAGACTATTTCCAGGCCTATTTTTCAATTATACTAATCCCATTGGGCATTTTTACAAGTGCTCTGTTGGGAGGGGTGGGGGGGAGGGCTTTAACTAGAGCAGTTCCATAAGTCTCTAATTAAAGCACCTGCAGTGCCTCGTGTATCAGCATCTCCATGCTTCAAATGGTGGCAGGGGCGCTTTATCCAAAGCTCATCAAACAAGACTTTAGTTAAATGAATCTGCTCCAGTGCACTTTAATTATAGTGTGTCAGAGCAGCCTCCTGGCTCGTGTACAGGCACCCATTGGTTCCAAATGAACTATAGCTAATTTATGCCAGCGGGAGATCTGGCTTGAAAAAAAATTGCATTAACATACAGTAGGTTCTGGAGTCCATGATTCTGTCTTCTAGACCATCCATTTTTACATTCTAAAAATCTTTGAAAATCCAGAGAATACAAGGACCCTATTGTGAAAAGCAATTACTCTGAAAAGGGCTTATGAGTTATAGCAAACAACCAACCCAGCATGAGCTCCCAGTGTGATCGGAAAAGAGACACAATACAAGGTATAAACAGGGAAGCATTTAGGTAGCATAAACAGAAGTTTTTAACTCTGTTCATGTCATTAGTGGAACCAGTACTGGACTACCACATGTCATTCTTGTGGCCACATACCAAAAAAGAGGATTGAACATTTAGAGATAAAAAGAAAAAATAACATCAAAACTATTTGAGAGCTGGAGAAAAAACCCTACAGTGAAAGAGTTAAAGAGCTTAATCTGTTTTGTTTATTCAGAAGAAGTTTAGAAGATGACTTGATTAGAATTTGCAAATTCATATGCAGAGTAAATATCAGGTTGCAAGGTCTCTTACCTGTCAGAGAAGATCAAAACAAAAATCAAGACCTGGAAGTTAAAGCCAGACGAATTCTATTTAGGTAAGGCATACATTTTTAACAAGAAGATCATTTAAGCATTGGAACAAACTGTTCAGGAAAATGATCTATTCTGTTTTTGGGGGTGGGGGGGGTTCTTCACTTCTTCATTAAGATTGCATGCTTCTCTGGAAAACATGCTTCAACTGAGCACAAATTAGTGAGCTCAATACAGTTATAAATGGGTGAAAATCTCTGACAGAGTCAGACTTGACAAGATGATTCCTTGTGACCTCAATATATATTAATGTAAATTTATCTTTCGATTCTACCACAGCTACAAGTTTGTGATAATATGTAATAATTCTATTCACAGCAATTTTAGGAGGAGTGCCCTTTTCAGGCAAACATTAAATCAGTTTACATTTCTTTTGGTGCCAAACGGGCTCATGATGTTTGTTTTTAAAATGTGTTACTTGTGTTCATGGTGATTGAAGACCACAAAGCCTACATAATACATTTAGTAAACAAAATGTATCACTTGAAGAAACTTTTGTACATAGATCTCTCCTGTAACCAGGAAATAATATAGGGACAACACAAGAATTAGTAAATAAGTATTTCAGATATAGTGAAGAAATAGATTTGTCATTGTAGGAAAGTGCTGGAAAGTTTGAAGTAAAATATTCATAACTGGTAAGGATTTTCGTATGTTTTTGAGACAACTAGAGCGCATGCTTTTAAGGGGATAAGGATTCTACTTTTACCTTTTTGACAGGTAATTTTATAAAGAATATATTCTGCTGATAAGTTGTATTAGTGATGAAACATTTAATGTACAAATTGTTTAGGTACTATGTATCCATAAGAATTGCTTTACTGTACTAAGATTATGCTGCAGATGCAATGTTTCAAAAAATTTTAGATGTAAAACATTCTGATGAGATGCAATGCACTGTGAATATCCAATACACCACTGTGAGTTACAGAATCTTCTCCAAGAAAAGTGTAAATAAGTTATCCAACACAGTTTATAAATTGTGTGTGGTGCTATAATATAGAATTGAAAAAATCAAGAGAGAGCATCTGGCATTTAGCAAGTAAAGGTTCATAATGAAAAGAATAAGAATTTAGAGAAATAAGACAACCCAACTAACTGACACTCATATTAATCAGTTACTTTTGTTGGCTACAAATGTCCAACTCGGGATCCTTAAAATTCTAGTTTATTAGGCGGATTGAAACACTGTAATGGGTTAAATCATAAACCTTGGGGCTGGTCCCCACACACACACACACACACACACATACACACACACACACACACAGTAGCAAGCTACAGAGTCAGGTATACCTATCCTACAAGCGCTGGAGTCTGTCGTTGAGGCTTCTTTCAGCGTGGTGTTATCTTCCAGAAGGGGGTCGTCGGCTGGTCCTTCTGGCTGGACAGGTCTGGACGAGTTGGAGATCAAGAGGGCGCCACTGAGGGTCACTTTTCACTGCCTTTTATCTGTCCCTGGCAGACTTTGGTGACTCCCCAGTTTTCAGGTTTGCCCAATCCAGGGGTCATTGACCCTCGTGGGACTTCCCTCCCCTCAGTGGCTACTGGACGGCATCTGTCAGCCCCAGGGGTCGTCCACACGTATGTGCAGGTTTGGGAGTCCATTGATGAATTTTGAATAGGGCTCTGGCAGCGGTCTATCTAGATATTCAGCCCAAAAGTTGGTCCCCTGCATTGATTAACTCAGGCCAGGGCTTCTAGCCCTTGATCAGTGAGGTTTAGAGATTTCCCAGTTGTTACATTGTCTTCTATTGAGTTCTTCCCTTGGCTGATCTGCAGCTTCCCAGGTGTTAATTGCTGTCTGCTTCCATGTTACACATTCAATCACTGATTCACTCGCTCTTTCAGGGGCCAGCCTGATACAGGGAAGGACAGTTTGATTCCTGCCCTTGTTAACATTGTTATAACGTATAACTTACTTATGAAACTAAATACATTCAGTTGAAAGATGAAAGGTGAGGAGTATAAAATATAAGCTACAAATGCCATGGCACACAAATAGATAAAAATACCAAAATACAAGGGGAGATACAAAATGCGCACACACAAATTTCAAAACACAATTCCTTATCTTAAAGTGAAAGAATGAGGAAGGAAGGAAGAAAAGGTAGAAGAGGAAAAACATATCCAAGTAGGGGAGAGCAACTGCAGGCAAGAGGAAAAGGGGCTTTCTGCTACACTTTGACTGTCTTTATGCAAGGGAGAGCACATAATTCTGGATTTATGTGCAGGAACAATTCCTTGAAAATGTAGAAGCTGAATCATCCTGCTGCTTTTTCTTTTCCTTTATTATATGTCTAATTATGGCAGTCTCATTAAAGCCCATGTATAGAGAGCAATTCTGAAAAAAAGATAAATCCTGATGCACTTATCCCTTCCTTTTTTTAAATTACATCTTCTGAAAAATGCATTACAAAACAATAACAAAATAGTAATGATTGTCAAGCTTCGATCTTTTAATTCTTCCATTAGCTGGAATGTTCTTGCGTAACAGAGAAATTAGTGGACCGCCTCTTAGAAATCCTGCGGTCCTGTAATAGACATTTTCCTCTGTACCTACATAAAAATCGCACTCATTTAACCTTAAACGTATGTTTAGTCCCATTGATTTGGTCCATTGTTTTGTTTGTCTGCAACTGTAATCCAGATCTTGCTGAGATTGTGTGTGTGTTTTGGCTAACATCAGTAAAAGTTGAATCAGTCTCTGTGATTCAGATCTATGACTCATGCAACGGATAGGTACCTAACTCCTATGGATTTCAAATTAACTTGACAGAAATTAAGCACAAAAATAACTAAGAAACTGGATGTAAGCATACAAAAGGCAGATCTCTAATGCTTTTTGTGTACACATTGTCCTACCTCTTTTCCCAAGGGTCTTTGTGATAGAAGAAGGTGAAAAAGACATGGTATGACGGATCATACCTGTGAGACAGACAAGACGTGACAGCTCCCTGAACACCTTTTCTGATGCTTGTACTTTGTAGTTTAAAGCAGCAGATAAATATTTAAACTTGTGTTTCATGCAGTTGTCAGGGAAAATATCATCTGAGTAGCAGTTGGTTTCACTGAAATTATGAACAACTTTATATTGATTGAATTAATAATTATCTTAATTATATTTTCAGAAGCCATTAAAATTAATCAAAAGGAAGAATGAAAACAAGAAATAAAATAATAGTCATGAAATACTTTTTAACCATCTTTAATGGAATTTCCTTGGTAAGAGTCTTGATTAATTTTAAATTAAACTGCTTGGAATATGTTATTTAGCAAGTGTTTAATTTAAAGCAATAATTGTTATTATTTTCAGATTTTTGGTCTCATGGCTTTTACATTCGCTCTGTGGCTTTTATTTGACAGAAACAACTTATTCACCGCTTTATGTGAGTATTGGTACTTTTTCTGGTTTTCACGGTTTCCGAAAGATATACCAGCTAACTACAGAAATATAATTACAGGGCTTTGTCACAAGGTGGCAGTGTTAGATTAAAATGCCATTATTAACTTTACTGTTAATTATGTTTTCCCTCTTTACACAAATATGATTATTGAAATGGGGTTACTATATATAAACATGTCTCCCCGATTACTATAGGCAGTTTACTTTTTAATGTGGTCACAGAAATCAGTATATTTGTGTCAATACAAATTAGTGATATATTTCTTTTTTCCCTGACAATTCCTCAGAATAGACTTGCCCTGTTTTATGTGTGTAGTGATTGTTAGTGTAGATGATCAGATGACCTGAACATGAATACAACTTTATGGTTGGCAGACAGTATCAGTAGTATAACTAGAAGTCAGTGAGGAGATGCCCACCCCCAGAGCAGATTTAGAGGGGATGCCAGACTGGTGGCCCCTGGGGAACCTGCACTTCAGCAGCTGTCCTGAGCCCCTGGCATGTCGGCTGCTGCAGCTGGAGTGCAGTGACTACACTGCAGCAGCAGCAGCAGCCAGGTAGTCTACAGGTGAGGTAAGACTTGCTTGGAACCCCCTCAGCAGAATACCCCGATCCTGCTCCACACAACCTCCACCTCCCACCTCTGCTCTGCCCAGGATGCCAAAATTGTTATGTCTCTGATCAATGTAGTCATGCCCTTTGCCTCAACGCACATGACACATAACATGTCACATGGCAAAGAAATCTAGTGCAATTTGTGGCTATTCAGCTGTTTCTGGTCTACAGCAGCGGAAATCTAATTATTTAAGGCAGCCTTTTACTATGGGCGGGCCACCCCTTTTCACCTGGTAGTCACCATGGGCAGACAGTCTCCCGATCCAGCTGACTGTGCTCTGTGGGGTGGGCTGCTCTCCTCGCCACCCATGCAGCCTCTGCGCCTCATCACCACCATCAGTTATGGCAAGCAAGGATTTGGAGTGGCTAATTTGACAGGGACAATGGAGGGGAAGGAGAGCAGCCATCCCCACAGGACAGCATTGTCATTGGAAATAGAGCCAGAGCTGGGATCAGCTAGCAGTTAGTAAAATGCAAATTGAATTAGACAGAAGCAGAGGATCAGCCAACTGTTCTTAAAACACAGACTGGATCAGACCTTAGTGGGCTAGATCCAGTTGCTTCTCAAGCTGGATCTGGCCTATGGACCATAGGTTGCTGACCCCTGATGTAAGGTATATGATATACCATCACCCTAGCATCTGCCTCATAAACTGGAGTGTTTGTGTAGAGGCTGGACTAGATGACCTTGTGAAATGCCTTCCAGCCCTACTTCCCTATGATTCTATGAATGTGCATATGTACACGTTCACACTGCCTTATGACATGCTGTAGAATTATCATCTTCAGAACTGTCTTATCCCCTGTACCTTTAGAAATTTCTGCATTATTCTTTTTTCTTTGCTGTCTATCTGAAACATTTTCTCTTGTTGATCTTGAGGATTTAATTTTTGTTTCCAAGAAGTTTTTATTTGGAATTTTAAAGTGATCAATATTGCAAGTTGTACATTTAGTTGCCTTGGTGAATCTCATTTTTGAATATTCCACTTTGTTTGAACTGTAGATTCATTTAGCTCATGTTAGATAATAAGTAATATTGTTTATCTCTCAGTGTAAAGCACCATTAATGTAATGTCCAAAAATATTTTGTATTAACCTAATGCTCTGCTTCTGTTTTCTCAAAGAAGTGTTTTTTGCTAACAACAAGACATGTGTGTGCTTTCCTTTTTGTCTACTTAAAACCTTTGTTAGCTGCCTGGAGTGAGCCCTTCTTGCTAGCTTGATGGCATGCACCTTTCCTGTAACAGGACAACTTTTGAAGGCCACATCTGATCAATTCCAAAACTTCAAAGAATGTTATAGGGACGAGTAGTTATGTGCACTAGTCTGAGGTCAGGAAGAAGAAAGGGTAGGGTGCCATCTTGAGATTAAAGCCCAGATCCACAAACAGAGTTAGGTGTCCAGATCCTGTTGAAGTATAAATTAGACAACTAATTCCTTTGAGGTCCTAGTTGTAAGTGACTTGATTAAGATCACACAGCACCTCCACTCTGGTGGAATTTGGAGGTTCAGTTTACCGCTTATCCACCAAACAATCCTTGCATCTACGGCTAGGGACAGACATTACGCATAAACCATTTAAGTGATCAGAAACTGATTTAAACCTGTAACAGAACAGATGTTCAGTGCACATAAACCATTTGACAATGGCAGAAACCGGTTTGAGATAAACCTGGTTGAATGTAGTGCTAGACTTAACTGATTTGGGTCAAACCGGCTTATGCAATGTCTGTCCCAGACCCCTTCCTGGTTTAAGATAAACTAGACTCCCCCAGCACCCTGGCATGCTCACTTGCCTGGGTGGGGCTCTCTGCTCCACAACAGGGCTGGCCCCTCCCCTCTTGTACCATCTACACTTTTCCCCGAGCCTGACGAAGGCACTTTGCTCCCGAAAGCTTGCAGAAAAGGACAGTTTTCTTGCCATTTTCCAGTTGGTCTAATAAAAGATATCATTTTGGACCAAGAGCTCTAGTTTTTTGTATGTCTTCTAGATTGCTGTTTAAAACTCCATGTTTTCAATTCACCAGGGGCTGGTAATATTTAATTCAAGGTGAAATTTCTGTATAATTATGGATCTGAAACCAGAAATCAATAAATAGTGCTGAACTTTGCATGTTTTCCATCTGGAGTGATAAGCCAAGATCATCTCCTATTCCCTTTTGACCATACCTCAGTAATAGGTATCAAGTTCCTCCTATACATTTTGCCATTTTCTAGGAATGGAATCTTTATATCTATATATCTATAACTTAATATACATATATCGAGTCTCTTCACTAATTTTTTGACATTGGTGGAAATGTGTTAGCTATCTGTACCCTTAGACATGTTCTTGTTTACATCTAATTTAGTACTGGAGTCTTATGGTTGCTAATGTAATGGTAGTTAGTGTAGTATAGAAGAGCAAGCGTATCTGTGTCTCTTAAGCCATAGAAACTGGTGGTAATAAGTTCATTTTGTCACTTTACTGGGCGCGTCTACACATGCATTTAAGTGTGACTAAATTTAGTGCTCATTAAGCTAATGCACATTAAGGGACTTTTGGCAGGTGTCTACATGTGCAGGGACTTGGCATTAAAAGTATCAAATTAAGTGTGATATCACTTAAGGTATCAAATTTAAGTGTGATTAGCCTAATTTTGCCGTCTTCCATGTGCATTAAGAGTACACATGTGTAGACACGAGCCCATAATGCGTATTAAATTAGGCTAATGCACATTAACATTTCTCATGTAGTCGTGCCCACTGTTTATATCATTCAACAAAGCTTTTCAAGAAATTAGTTTAATGAATTTTTAAAAATATATTCTTAGGGCAAAACCTTTCTAAGTAGAAGATACCAAGAACAAGAAATGCTATTTTATGAATGCATTTTGTTTCAGCTTTCACAGGTGAGAACCACTTGGTATCTTATCTTTGTTACATATTGCTTGGCACTGGATCCATCATTATTTTTATTTCATTCTTGGGATGCATTGGAAGTTTCAAAGAAATCAGATGTTTACTAGTTCTGGTGAGTAGAGATTAGTGAAATGCCTCAGGCTTTGACAATTTAGGTCGCAAAGCAGAGTCAATGTATGTAGTAAAAAAGATCGTCCCAATATTATGCTTTACTCTAACTATTATCTGGGTCATGTGTGAAGGTCTGCAGAAACAGATAAGGAACCTGAATGTAAGATGACTGTCCATGATATGAGAAACTGTGTGTTGCATAAGAAAAGATATTATAAGATAATAATGAGCTGTAACAAAATGCCTTTAGCTAGTCACAATACTAGTGGGCATTAGGCATATAGATATGAAAATGGTGGAACTTTAGAAATGGTATCTGTTAACATTTGCAGTTTCCAAAAAAAGTGCTTCTAAACCCTGACACAATTTTATACAAACCCTCTAGTGCTTTATGATCTGAAAGTTGATTCTTGCACAGGACCATTTATAATAACTTGTGAAACTGTAGCATGCTATAAGTCTTCGCAGTTCTTTAATGTCGACAGATTAATTATTTATTGGAAGTAATCAATGTCCAGCAGTGACAAAACCAGACAGAAGCAGTTTGTTTGTAAGTTTTGCCACCAAGATAATTTTGTTAATGGTTTAGTAGGCCTTTTTAATTTAAACCTGAATTCAGTTCTAAATAGTCAGTTCTACTGAACATTGTCATCTTTGCTTTTCTGGAACTATTCTAGAAAAAATGACTCCTCTACCTCACACAGAATCTCAATAGGGTGCTCAGAGATTTCACATTAAGCCATTGCTTTGTGGGCAGTAATTTGCCTGTTGGGCAAGCTATGTTGCTAAAAGGGGTCTGTACTCCCTTGGGCAATGCTTCCTAGCAAATGTGGATGAAGAACTCAATGGTGTATCACTTCAGCATCACAAACAGAAAATTTGACTTCTGTTTGCAGGAATAGGCTGAGCAGTGTGATTAATCTTATTTTATTAATCTTATCTTATTGTTCTCCTTACAGTGTAGGAAGAGAAAGGATAATTGAAATTGTCACTAACCCAAACTACATATGTCCGTGGCTGAGTAGAGGGACAATTCTTATTGCTGCTGGAATTAATTGCGGCCTCTTTCTCTAAAGCTTTTGAATTTAAGCAAAGGAAATGCACACTGATATTACTGATATGAAATGAGAAATCAGATTGAAAAGATCTCAACACAATGATGCAAGGTTCAGGGAAGTGGGATCGAGATCCTTTGCCCTGTACCTGACTCAAGATAGATACGGGTAGAATTCTTTTTGCATTCCTCAGCTGTTTTTACTACTTTGATAGCTTTAACTCCATACCCACCCGCCTTTGACCTGAACTGGGTCACTGTAGCCCACAGCCCAAAAAGTTTGCTGACTGCTGAGTTAGAGATTTTGTGGATTCATCCTCACTGGAAATTTTCATGTTCAGATTAGACAACTGTTTGTCTGGGGTGATTTAAACAAGGAGGATCCTACTATGAGGAGGGGCTTGGACTAAATGATCTCTTGAGGCCCCTTCTAGTCCTATTTTCATATGATTTCCCTCTAACACAAATCTAGTTTATTAATCTGCTAGCTTCACTTAAAAAAAAACCTGTGGAAGAAATAACCCAGGATTATTTCTGCTTATTGACCATGACTATTTAATGCAAAGCGCATAAGTGGTCTAGGAAATCGGAACCAGAACCCAGGTGTCCCCCGCCTCCCTGTCTTAAGTGCTCGCATCTCTGAGATAGGAAGTCATGGTCCCATTTGCTTACTTTCCTTCTGTCCTTATTATACTTGCATTCCTTTTTGCCTAGTGACCAAGTTTCACCAGGAAGGATGGAAGGTACCCACGATACAACTTATTCTATAGCTTAGTGTTTAGGACCCTCTTCTAGGACTAGGAGATATGGCATTTGAATCCTTGGAGGCTGAAGGGGTTCTATACTCCAGGTATCCCATTTCCTAAGTTAGTGCTCTAACCACTAACTATTACATAATATGCTGGCATCACCACTGCCACCAACTGTGCATTTTGAGAAAAAGTGACTCTCTCTTTTTAGCTCTTTGCTGTTGGGTTTGGTACCTCCCCAGCATGAGTCTGTATTGCAGCAGAGCTTAGGTGGGAGTTAGGCGTTTAGCTGCTCAAAGTGGATCACTTATGAGTGTGGCCAGAAGGGCAAGTCTAGGAGCATATGGGAATTTACAGTCAAAATGGAGGCCCTGTATGAACTTTGATGCCCAGTGTATTTTAAGGCTCATGAAATAAGGCCAATCTAGATCTCTCTTTGGAGTTTAGGTAACTAAATTTTACCTATGTCATGTTTAGGCACTTTCCAGGTGTACACCTACAGTTATGCAAACATGTATTATTATACTAATACTAACTGACTTCTGTATAGCCCAAATTTCATGGTAAGGGTTTTTACAATTCTTTGAAGATGAGTAGCATAATAATACCATAATGCTACATAATTATTACCTACCATTAGCACCCATTCATTATTTCAATTATGTTGTGGCTTCCTCTTTAAATCAAGAATCAGTGACTTATGCCCCACTTGATGCCTAACCCTACCTGATAGCAGCAGTGATAGTGATGTATTGAGTTTTCCGATTGCTTTTATGTATGCGGATTTCTTGCTATTATTGGAATGTCCCTGAATAATAATCACGCACGAGGAGAGTTCAGTTTATGGATTGAACTGTGTATTGCATCATTCCATGTCTAATAAATTTTACTGATACAGTATATTATTTTCATTTGACTTTTTAGTATATGGGTCTCACAGTCGTGGTCTTCAGTGTCCAAGTTGCAATACCAGTGCTAATATACACATTCAAAAAAGAGGTATGTAAATTTTCTATATATTGGACCATTATTAATTTTATAATAATATTTTTAAGTGTTTAGAGCCAATCCCTATGGGGTGCTCCCTGCCAATAGATGGGAGCTCTGCAACGACCTTGTCCAGATCCTGAATAAGCTCATACTGGCACATGGAACCATTTGGCAAGTGGAACCAAGAGAAATTCACAAGTTGTAGAGAGAAGTTAATGCCAATTAATGTCCTATCTTCTCTTCCACTATCTCCATAGAACCTATACCTCCTGTTAAAGAGTTGTGTAAATTAGTCTACATTCATTAGTAAGACTCATACACGGGGTTGGGGGCAAGACATAGACATGGATACAGGTACTGCAATGTTTATTAACAGCTGCTTGTAAAAAGGGATTGGATGGAAGTCAATTCCTTCATTTAATAGGGTAGAATGGGCCAGGAGAGTTTCAAGTATTTGAAGATCAGAATTAGAGTTCAATATAATCTAAATAATGATTTAAAAAAAACAAGATGAAATGTAATAAAGACAAGTACAATTCGCCACTCTTCAAAACGAAAAATGAAATAAATTAATAGAAAATAGGGAACACCACTCTAGGCAGCAGTACTGAAAGAAAGAAGAGTATATGGAACATATATAATGGACTGGAATACAAGTCAACAATATGATGCAAAAAAAGGGCAAATCTCATTCTGACAAGTGTTAATAGGATCATCATATATAAGACATGGGAAGTAACTATACCTCTGTGATCAGTGTTATTCAGTCCTCAGCTGGATTATTGTGTCCAGTTTTGGGTGTACACAGTTATTTTGGTAAATCTGGTATAATTTATCAAACCAACTCAAATAGTTGGAAAAATTCTTCTTTGCAAGTTTTCATATACAAATACCCTGAGAAAGCATCTGCAGTTGGTCTGTGCTTTCCCTAGATGGAATGAATAGTAAAGCAGTCAGAGGCTAATATGCATGCAAGAAAGCCAGTCAGTAAAGATGTAAACTGAGGAGTCAGTGGGTGAGAGACAAGTTGGGGGTGGAGTGGAAGAGGATTGAATGTAGCCGGTAAATAGTGGAGAGGTACCTGGGGAGTACCTCTACCTCAGTAGAGCTAATAACTGCACAGTAAGCATCCATGTCTACACATGCAGGTGCTTACTGTACAGTAATTACTCTAATTGCTAGTAAATTTGCTACCTGCAAATGCAAGTAGCAAGCACCCAGCTGCCGCTCTTTGATCGTAGGGCCAGGGCTGGGAGATCCTTCTCCTGTAGCCCTCGCCCCACAATCACGGGACTCAGGCTGGGAAATCCTTATCTCCCAGCACCTGCCCCATGACCACAGAACTGGTGCTGGGAAATAAGGATCTCCCAGCCTGATCCCCACAACCAGGTACCCAAGTACCTTGGGAAGAAGAATTTTCCAGCACTGGCCCTGCACCCAGACCTCCTGATTGTGGAGCAGGTGCTTGGGTCCCTGCTGGCGGGGGCTGGTGAGCCTGTTCCCCACCCAGCTCCGTGATCACAGAGCTGGTGGGGAACAGGCTGTCCAGCTCCCTCCCTGCAATCACAGAGCAGGGGCTGGGAACTGTCCCAGTCAGGGGCAGGTCCCAGCCCACTGCCTCAATTGGGTGATTGAGCCATGGGGCTTGGAAAGAGATGTAAAGGTGGGGCAGGTCCCAGCCCTCTGCCCCATCCACCAGTGGGACAGCTAACATCAAGCTCCTGGCCAGGCGGGGAAGCCCTGCCCAGCCAGGGGCTCACTGCTAGATGCCCCACTGGCAGATTGGGGCACAGGGCTGGGATCTGCGCCCCCCCTGCAGTTCTTTCCAAGTCTCCTGCCCCCAATGGAGACCCAGGGCCAGGAGCTCCCTGCTGCCAAGGCAAGGGGATATTGTCTCTGCCTAGGCTTCAGTGGTGGAGCCTGCCCTAGCAGCAGGCAGCCCTCCCAGGGGCAGGAAGCAGTATCCCAGCCCCCACCAGGAGACAGCTGTCTCCTGGCCCTGTGCTCCCTGCCAGCCCCTGGACCAGCATCCAGGGGAAGCCTAGAGCTTCTCCTGGCTGCTGCAGGGGTCTGATGCAGGACCAGGGGGGATGGAAGCAGATTGCTGGCATGAGCAGCAAATCTGCTCCCATTAACCTGGATGTGTAGATGCCTGCCTGGGTCAGTTTATTCTAGAGTAATTTACTCTGGAGTAAACTGATCCTGCTGTATTTGCATGTGTAGATGTGACCAGTGAAGGTGAATGGGTTAAAATAATCTTTTTTTCTTAGTGAAATGTTTCAGTGACCTATAGTGCATCATCATTGTTAGACCCCAACTCCATGCGGCGCCCAACGACTAGGGAGACAACAGTCCAATTATCCATGGATCCTGTTACTCATTAGCCAGAGCAGAGCAGAAAGCAAACACGAGCACACATTGCTCGCAATGGCTTTATTCAAAATAGAGACAGCTTCGGACAAGCTCCCACACCGATGGAATACGGGGAGCTGCAACAAACAATAGTTTTTTCCCATATTTATACACTTTGGTTTATACTTATTAACATTTACCCTGTCTTGTTCCACCTCTGGTTCCACCCATTTCTCCTCCCATCTCAAACTCCGCCTCTGTTTGCTGTTTGCTTCATTAGCATGGAATTGCCTATGCATTTCATTCATTTACATTCCTTTTTGCTATGAGCTCATGTCTAAGAACTTGACTCCTTTTTTTCGGTCAATGGGTGGACTTTGATCAAAACCTGGAAACTTCTAGAGGTTTCTTCACCAATCACCATTCACCTTTTTGCATATGTTCATCTTGGATTCTGTTACCAATTATGTGTTGTTTTTTTTACATTCTAGTCTGTTTTTCTTTTTCAGGTTGTGCCATCTTCCACCTTTTTTTGGCCCCTCTATCTTATCTCATTCCTTACTGTAGCTGGTTCACAGCACACAGACTCACACAGATTTACTTGCTGCTTTTCCCTCAGAAAATGGTTGACACAGTTAAGGTGGTTACTTAGCATAAGCAAATGGCTGGCTTAAATATCAGTCTGCCTTGTGGTCAGCAGCTTTGCTTGGCCACAGGTAAAGCTTTTGTATTCAGCTGCAAATCCAGTGCTCTCTAAGATCCAAATTATTGTCACCCTAACAATCATCATTATCATTTTCCATTCTATTCTATGTAATCCCACTATTTTCTGTGATCCAGAATTCCTTTGGCCTGGGAGCTGCTGTTATACTGAACTTGTAGTAATCTTCCCATTTTCACTTTCTTCTTTTCTATCACTCTCAGGGATGCATCTGTTTTCCCATATAAGAACGAGAACACAGTGACACAGTCATTGAGTAGAGCAGAATGTCTAAAAGAAAAATATAGATTAGAGTATTCCCCTCTTCAAACCATGGAAGTATTGACAGCTGCCTTTTGAAACAGCAACGCCTAGGTTTCAACAAAAAACATAAGATAGCGCAGATGTCCTTTGCATACATTTTTTTTAATCAGAAGTGTAACAAAACACACTCAGGAAAGGAATTGTATCTTCCAGACAAGGTCTTGTTCTAAGGGTCAGGAGATCAGTGACCTAATACTGACTCCCTCTGACCTACTCTATGATTCTGGAGAAGTTGTGTTACCTCTCTGTGTATCTGTTTCTACTCCACCCTTTATATTGTTTATCCTTACTGAAGGCTGTTTGGGGTAAGGCCTGTTTTTTATTCCAAATTTGTATAGCACCTGGGACAATGGCATCCTGATCTCTGTTGGGGCACTACTCTTATATTAAGAATAAAGCATTTTCAGTAGTTTATTTTAAGTCAATCAATATGTCAGTATTAATGAAGCTAGTAATGTATTTTAAAAGCTTTTTTGTTAACAGGCCAATGCTATGTGGAGTGATAGACTTGATGCAGTTATTTCCAACTATGGGAATAAGAATCTGACTCAAGAAGAACATGCATGGCATATTCTGAATGATGTACAGCACAGTGTAAGTAGGAAATGAGAAGATACCAGACCAAATGTTATATCATCCTAGTACTAGGCATGTCTTAAAGCACTAAATAAACACTATTTTTTAGTTAGTGAGTTATTTATTATGATATGCAGATAGCTTCCCTGCTGTTACAACAATACCTTGGGGGTATATGAACTTGGTTGGGTTTATGTAAAAAAAAAAATCCCAAACTTTACCTTGCAGCCTTGTATGGGGCAAATACAGTCCCTGATCACTGCGACACAATAGGGGACCTAATCATAACAGTAAAAGTTCTCAAGTGCCTTGGCCAGTGCTAGAAATCTTGGTGTATACTAACAGCATTTGGAAATGGACTCAAGCCCCAGAATAGTAAAAAAAAGTGAAGCTTGCATACTGTGACCTGTGGGCATAGCAGGATCATGCTATCATGGCATTTACATGGAAATATCATGCGTCTTAAAAAGAGACAATTCCTATTTCTCCAATACATTTATATCACACTCATATTTCCCAACTGTATGGCTAAGTACAGGTAGTCAAAAAGCCCAAGGCTGAATTGATTCAATCTTGGCGGATTAGTCTGAGCTGCATAGAATGAACTGACAAGCAATTGAATAAACATTCACTTTTGATTCTGGAAATGCAGCCACCTGCTTGCAGTTGCCCAGGCCAGAAGCTGGGGGTGGGGGGGAGGGTGCTAGAGCATGCCTCCCTGCTTGGCTGGAGCAGACAGCTTGGGCCTACGTTAGCCCACCCACCCTGTCTGGTGCGGCTTGTGGGAGAGGTGCAAAGCATCCCTGGGATGCTGGGGGACTATAAGTAACTTGGATCTGAAGGGGATCTGGGTCAGAAGTTCAGGGAACCTATTTAGCCTAAATCAGTTAAGTCTGATACTACAACCATCCAGGTTTATCTTAAACTGATTTCAGCCATTTTGAAAGCAGTTTATATGCATGGAACTTCTGTTGCATTACAGATTTGAATCTGTTTTCAATCACTTATATTGGTTTATGTGTAATTTTTGTCCCTGGCCAAGTGAGAGCACCTGCTGGTGTTGTATTTCATTTCACTAACTACTAAATGGGCTGTATCTTACAGCCCCAAATTAGCCTGGAAAATCAAATGGTGAGACATGAATCGTTTCTCTTGTTAAAGGAAGTCCTTAAAAAACAGTGCCAACTTTTCCATGGAATATACTGTGGCAAGGTGATCTTCATGATTCTTGACAATATTAAAAATAGCTTTATGACACCAAGTAAATTGCAGCATATGGGTCTCGGCTTACAAATACATTTGCAATAGAGATTTTAAAAACAAATGTTCTTTAAGAACGAGTTCTTCTCTCTTTAGGCTGCCCAATCCTGTCTGCAGAAACAGCTGGTGCTATTGCATAATCCTAACCTAAGTGCATTTTTATGCTACACTTAGAGGTGTGATTGAAACATGTGTAGATACACCTGAGGTGGCTTAAATCTTGCTCATTTAAGTATCAGTTAGCAATATAAGTGCAGCAAAGCAGAGTTCAGTATGGGCTAGCCACCCATGTTTGTCACAAGGGTCCTGAATTGGCTTGTATGTTCTACAATCCACACTGCTGCATTGACACTGCTATTGGTCCACAAGTTAACTCTGTTACAGCTAGCTTAGGTATGTGTCTTCTTTTCTAGTTGGAGTGCTGTGGAAGATACAACTTCTCAGACTGGAAAAAGAATGAGCATATGGAACATGTAAATCAGGTCCCGTGCTCATGTACAATATCTAATATCAAGAAATGGTTTTGTGTTGCTTCAGAAACTTCAGTGTACAGTAAAGTAAGGACTAAATATTTATTTTAAAGTAAGAATAAATTAACTGTCATATTATTATGTTTTACTAAATCTGACTTTGTCTTTTTAAAAACTGAAACATAAGTAAAGTGCAACCTAGTTAAACCAAAGACATTCATAGGTGGGCCAATTGCTTGCATTTCACTTTTCAAATGTCTATCACAGAAAATTCTTGATCAGAGCCTCAGGATAATAGGACCTAGGAGCATCATATAACTGTGAGAGAACATTCACTGGTAGCCTGTGCAGTAGCAAAGCTCTTGGTATTCACAGTTCTGTGCTGTAGACAGCTATGATATAGAAATGAGGCAGTGTAGAAAAAAAAATCCATTAGCAACAAATTTTTTGATTAACTATTATTTATATAGTGACAGCACTGCCTTTACCTGCTTTTTGAGTTGTCAGTATACTTTACAGGATGAAAAAATAAACAAAGCATAAAAATAAGCCTGAGAACATCCAAAGCTCAGGATTCACTAACTTCAGAGAATGACCAGTTTGTTTAAGGAAACTAGATTCTAAACCTGCAATTATTAGAAAGTTGGAGTATAAGAAGAGACCAGGGATTCACAACATTTTTGGGCAGAATGCCAAAAATACCCCAACCTTGACTTGTAAGATGTTGGCATACCGGGGGGCGGATGGCAGAGGAGCCACGAGGGGCCTGATTCTTGTTGTGGCAGTTCACTCCTGACCCCTTCCCTGCCATCTTCCCTGAGGCATGCATGCATCCGCTGCCAGTAACAACCTGGGCCAGGGCTTCACAGACTTCGGTACAATGGCTTGCAGCATCCCCACTGCTTGCTTCAAGCAGCCCAGGCTCCATGATGCTCAGGTGGGGCCTTTCCAGAGCCTGGGCTAGTTGTGGCAGGCAGCAGGGAGGCTGTAAGCTGTTGCACCGAGGTCTGGGGAGCCCTGGCCCAGCTCACTGTGGGTGGCAGGTGCATGCACACCTCCAGGCGGACGGCATGGGAGCTGCAGGGGGTCCATTCCTTGTTATGCAAGTGCAGCCTCGGTCCCTTTCCCACCATCTGCCCTGAGGCATGCATGCAAAGCAAAATGCCTTTGAGTGCCATGCTCTGGCATGTGTGATGGGGGTTGCCAACCCCTAGGATAGACCTTACCACCATTTTTAAAAGCTCCATGAAATATTATACCAGGAACATAGGGTGTGTGACAAAATGGGGGCCCTCAATTGAAGCAGTGGGTTTTTAAAAACACCGCTTCAATTTAGGGCCAATTAAACCCCCGTGTTGTGCACACACCCAACTTACCTCTCTGGCGGCGGGGATGGGAGGGCAAGCTGCTGGCAGGCGGAGTGGTCCCTGGGCCATAGGGGGCACTGGTGCTTCCCTCCACATCAGCTCCCACCCCTCGGTGGCATCCGCCTGCAGGCACCCAGCTCTGGCAGTCCCAGGTGTGAAAAGACATGACTTATCAGTGGGATGCAGGTCATTGAGGGCTTTATAGCTGTTAACTAGCATTATGAATTTCACCCAAAAGTCAATTATCTGCTAATGCTCTATGTTTTTGCCTGTCCAGTAGGGCTTGTCCCCTGTTATTGTCAAACGTTAACTCATCTAGGTTACATGAAGGGATATAAAAACACTTTTCTCTTTTATTATATATTTATAGTGTATTATTTTATTATTCATAGATATAGATAGACTCACACACATTTTGGATCAATAATTTCTTTTTCCTCGTAGAAAATATCATATTTACTTAGAAGAGGAGATTTTCTTCTCTTCGTTTAACATGGAGGAAAAAAAGGACTTCACCATACAATCAAGCATGAGGCAGCTAGGAGCTAGAGCTGCCGCTGCCACCTACCCCTCCCCCCCCCCCCCTTTTCC